TTTCAGGGGAAAGTCCTGGGGTAGCCGGGCATCCACATCTGCCTCCTGGTGTGCCAGGAGAGCCAGGCAAAGCAGGACCATGGTGGATCGCTGCATGGCGGGGAGCTGTCCTCGGTGCTGGGGCAGGACTGGTGCCTGGTGCCAATGTGCCTCTCCGAGCGCAGGGAGAGACTGGCCTGGCAAGCCGCACGCCCAGCCCACGCGCCGGGAGGGGGCTGAGGTTTGATAGGCTGGGGTCAGCACGCCAGGGGCTGGCACAGGGACCTCCTCCCCCATTGAGGGGGCGGGGGGCTGCTGCCAGAGAGGCTGCGGGGAGTAGGATGAATGGAGGAGTCATGGGGGGGCTGGAGCCAGGCGCCCGAGGGGGCGTTAATATTTATGAGAGGGTTAAAATGTGTTTGGCGAAGAAGAGGGGAATTAAATGTAACAAATCCCTCGGGAGCTGAGCAACGGGCAGCGAAATCTCTCTGTCGGTGTGTGTCTGTCCCCCCCCCACGCCCGTCCATCCAGCTAATCTCAGTGTCTGGGTATCTATCCCCTCAGCGCTCATCTGTCTCTCGGCAGAGCGCTCTGGCTGGGCCCATGTGCACCATCTAGCTAATCACAGCATCTGTCTGTCCGTCCCCGAGGCGCCGGCTCCCGCGCTCGCCCGTGTCCACCTCTCCATCCTGCTGACAACTTGAGCTTGGGCCAAATCCCAAGGAGCTCGGCGATTGTTCGGCACGTGAGCCGAGAGGAGGCGTCTGGCTGCCGGGGCTCTCCCGGGAGCAGCGCTTTCCCCTGTTTGCTGTGGGGTTGGAGCCACTGTAGGGACAATGGACCCGTCCCTGCTCGGTTCCGCCCCAGGACAGATCAAATCCCGCCCCAGCTCTGCTTGACTTTGCCAGGTGGGTGCTGGGCAGCTTTCCCCGGCCCGTGTCAGAACTGGGCTGTGGGCACAGGGCCCGGGCCCCATTTGCAGCTGTCCAATGGAACCAGGTTACAAGTTCCTGCTGCAGACGGGGGGGTCCCCGAATGCACCCTGTCGCCAAGGTTACGCGCGAGCCCTCATGCCTCTGGCAGCTGCTGCCCTCCCGGGCCGTGAGCAGAGCTGCTGGCATCTGGGCACCTTGGCGTTCCCAGCCGCCAGCCCGTGCCAGGCCCCGGGCAGAGACGCTGACTGCGCTGGGCACTCCCGAGCTTCAGGCTTTCCCCTCTAAGCCACTGGAGGAGGCTCTGCCCCGAGCCAGGAGCTCTGCGGGTTCCCGCCCGCTGGGGGTCAGGGCACCCGGGCTCTACCCGCTGCCCTGCTGGGTGACAGCCCAGTCCCTGCCCCTCTGCCTGCCCTGGCTGCGAGCGCTTCGGGGCAGGGCCTGGCCCACGCCTGGCACAATGGCCTCGAGCTCAGTCGTGATGGGGCTATCCTCGACTCCATGGGGCAGTGTGCCCGGCTGGACCAGGAGCAGATGGGCCCTTGTATGGACGGGGGTTTTGGTTGCAGCTGCTGTCACAGAGCCGCTCGGCCCCTCGGTGCCAGCCCCCCCGGGGATGCCCCCCCCTGTGGGACCGGCCCTGGG